GTAATATTAATATTTACTCTATGTGAAGCATTATTCTAAGTACTTTTTATGGACTAACTCACTCAGTCCTCACAAGATCCCTATGAGGTAGTTATATTTAAACTTATGTATAAAAATGGAAATAATAATGAGACAGCTCTTAAGTAACTTGAGTTAAGATATCAGAATATGACATTATGATAGTATTATCAGTAGTAATAAAAAGTAGCTTTTCCTGACTGAACACTTTCTCTGTATCAGATACTCAGACACTGGGACTTAACACTTTATCTCATTTTGTCTGTAAACTAGGTGATACAATCCCCAGTGGATAGGTGAAAAAATTGAGACCTAGTGTGATAGTACACCTAAGTAGAACATAAAAAAGTAAAATTCCAACCTGTGGAGTCTGTCTCTAGAATCCATTCAGCTCCGCATTGCCTACTGAAGATAACAAGTTCATCCTGGGATGCTAATGGTCAACAGGCAAGAGCTGTAGAGTCATATTGTCCTGACCTTCAAAAGGCAGTGACTTCCCAATGACTAAATATCCTGGGCTGGGTACAAATGTATGAAGTCCTTGATTTTTGAAAATGCTTTTTGCCATGGCTCTTGGTCTTTTTTGTCCTCAGCCAAATGTGGCAATGTGAGTACAGGCCAAATTAGAGTGACTTGACCACACTGTACTTTTTCATATTGGAAAGATTTATTCTGAGGCACTTGACACAGAGAATAAGGGTTATTGCTCCAAATTTGATTTTAATCTGATTCCTAATGTGTCTGCCTTGTTATATCTTAAATTACTTCCTTTCTTGCATAGCATTCATCATAATGTATCATATTTGTCTGTGAAGCATTCCTATCACTCACACCCAACTGTTTGTGGGAAACATTTTCTCTAAATCTTTCATTCTCAAGCTGAAGCTCTGAAGGTGGCTTTTCTTAAGATTTCCATTATAGAAGTTTTGCCAGTTCTTCTTATCTGGTACACTGGAATAAGGGCAGACCTCTCACTCTTATTTTAATATAAATTTTAAAGATACTAGATGGAATCCTAGTTGATATGAGCAGTTGTTTGTCCTTCACAGTGCACACTTAACTCTAGAAGGGAAGATGATAAGCTTAAAGCAGGATTGACAAACTATAGTCTGCTGCCTGTTTTTATAAATAAAGTTTTATTGGAACACAGGTACATTCTTTCATTTTGGTATTATCTATGTTTCCTTTGGTGTCACAACAACAGACTTGAGTAGTTTGACCACCATCTCACCCTCAAAGTCTACAATATTTACTAACTGGCCTTGTACAGAAATTGTTTGCTGACTCTGGGTTTAGAGACATAGAAAGGGACTCCCTTGAACATACTGGTTAAAAGATGCTGTTATTTTTCTAGTAAATGTCTTTTGCTCTGCTTTCTCTTGAGAGGAGAGAAGAAAGAAGCCTTCTTATTTACTTTTTATTTTTATTCCTGTTTTTTTTCAAGGTTTATTAAGGTATAATTGACAAATAAACATTGCATATATTTAAGGTATACAGTGGTCAATTTAATATACATTACAAAATGAGTACCACAATCAAGTTAATTAATATCTCCATCACCTCATATACTTACCATTTTTATGTGCGTGTGTGTGCTGAGAACACCTAAGATCTACATTCTTAGCAAATTTCAAAAATACATGGTGATTATAAAAATAAAAAAGACAGAGATGAGTGTTGGTGAGGGTGTGGCGAATAGGAAATATTTACACACTGTTGGTGGAAATATACATTGGTCTAGTTATTATGGAAAACAATATGGAAGTTCCTTAAACAACGAAAAACTAGAATTAAACCAGCTATCCCATTTCTGGGTATATATTCAAAGGAAATGAAATCGGTATCTCCAAGAGATATCTGCATCCCTTTTCACTGAAGCATTATTCACAGTAGCCAAAATTTGGAAAAAAACCTAGATGGCCATTGAAGCATGAATAGATAAAGAAAATGTGGTATATACAGTGGGATATTAGTTAATCATAAAAAGAAGGAAATTCTGTCATTTGCAGCAACAAAGATGAACCTGGAGTGCAATGAGTAAAATAAGCCAAACTCAGAAAACAGTCTTTTAATGTCACATTTTTTGTGTCAGCCTTATCGTTTCATGCATTCATTGCTTTAACTTTTCTGTAACTACTCTGATAAAAAGATCTTAAAAATTCAGTTCCATAAGAATGCTTTTCCTGATATTTGTAGATGTTACCAATCAAATGTTTCGATCTTGATCACTTAATGGGAAGGGTAAAGATTCTTGAGTCATGTTTTCCACTTTGATGTGCCCTGACGGCACAGAGTAGCTTCATGTTCTTTCTTTTTGTCTTCTGTTTCCTAGGAAGGGCCTGTAGAGATGCAGTCTTTCCCAGAGTGACTTCCTGGGTCTTCATACAGCCATGGATCTGGATAAACCTTCTGTCTGGGGCTCTTTAAAACAACGGACCAGGCCTTTGTTAATCAACCTGAGCAAGAGGAAAGTGAAAAAGAACTCAGACAAACCCCTGGACTTAGGGGCCAGGCATTGTCTGGACCGCCGCCTCAGCCTCTCCGTCCCTGACCTCCTGGAGTCTGAGGCCTTGGCCCCCGAGGGGCGGCCTTACTCCCGGCCCCAGTCGTCCTACACCTCGGTGCCTAGCAGCCTTTCAACGGCAGGGATCGTTCCCAAAAGTAGCAGTAGCTCTTTGAAACAGTCTGAAGAAGAATTGGATTGGAGCCAGGAAGAAGCAGGCCACTTCCATGTAGTGGAAACAGACTACCGGGAGACCTACACCTCTCCTGCCGAGGACAGGAGGGCTTCCAGCAATGGCATCTTTGATGTGCTCCAGAAAACTCCCCTTGGAGAGGATGCGCCAGAAGAGCCAGAGGTGAGACCAGGGCTGGGCACTTTCCTGTTTGTCTGTCTTTTTTCTTTTTTTAAAAGTGTATTCAGTGCCCTTGAAAAATTTGGTTAGGATTTATTTTTGTGGTTAGCTTGTATGGAGAGGATGTTATTTATAAGAATTTAAACGAAGGTAATATTGATTGAACCAAGTGTTCCCATTTGTTTGGGGGTTGACCACTATGTCTTTTAAAAGTATTACAAATAACCTTCCTAGAATACTTCAAGGCATTAAAAGCCCTGTTGGATGAGTTTTCCTTTTTCCATCTCCTGGAAAAGAAATCAAGAGCATAACTTTAACTTTTTGCTGAAATGTGTGTCTGTTTCTATCTCTCTGTCTCTACTACCCACAGACAAAAATGCATATTCACATTCTAAGAAATGTAAGAATATGTGTCTCCTTTTGACTGCCAGAGAGTTGGAACTCTCTTCTCCTTCACAAGTACATACCTGTGTGTCTGCTCCTGTGCACATATGTGCACACTTACCTGTGGGCACCTTCATTTGCCTCCTCTAAAAATGAAAAGAAAGCCAAATATTAAAGGAAACAAATTCTTATCAATTCAGTGATTTTTATAAAGCTTTAGTATTTCTATAAGGTAAAAATAACCAAATATAATTATGTGGCAAATATTATAGTTCTAGGATGAATTTAATTTAAATGTAATCATCAGATGACCAACTATAACTATAAGGATAATCACTTTAATCAGTTTTTTTAAAAAAATCTTACATTTATGGCACTGGAAGTAGGTTTCAGTGTTGAGGCAATGGCTTAATTTTTTTATATTCTAGGTTAGTGTTATAATTATGGACAAAACTGGTTATTCCACTAGGATTTTTTATTTTATTTTTAGAACCAAAGCCTCTTAATTATGCCATACATTTAGATTTCACTGGGGAGTGGGATTGTGGATATTTGAAGACCATATTCTTTTGGAAGCATTACTATGTTAAGACACCATTAACCATTAAATGACTTAACTATTTGTTTCATAACCATTAACATTTATGAAATCCTTTTTGTAACAGTTTTTTATGATGTTTACTGTTATTTATAAATTTGAAATATCTTTTTCCACTAATGAAAATATAAATTAAGTGAATTTTCAAACATAGTTCCTAATTCATAGTTTAGTATGAAGGAGGTAAGATGTTAAATTGTATACTAATGTTAATCTTTATCTTCTTGTTACTTATTAACTGACCAGAAAAAAAAATAGGTGGGCTTCTTGGCCTTGATAGGCTAACAAACTCAAGTTAGAGTAAGTTGTTTTAAAAGTTAGTGCTGTTAAATTATTTCGCTGGCTATAAATATTTAATGCCTACTCTAACTCGGGCATCATAAAGATTCTATTGGAAAGAGACCCTGCCTTCAAGTTGTGATCTATTAGGACATAGCATTAATTGTAGCATAAGAGGCAAGAGATATTGGGGCTGGCTGTCTGTGCAAAACATTCAAACCTTTCTCCTGGCAGCTCAGTGGTTAGAGGAGATCATATGTGTGGACCCAAGGGCTTGTCATGTGTGAGGCAGTGTTCAAGTTGGCACAGAGGATAAGTAGGATTTGATAGGTGAGGAAATATGACAAACACAGGCCTGAAGTGTGGATGGGTGGTGGTCAAGGGTGGTGAGCATTCTGCTTTGCCTTGAATGAAGGCTGGAGGGCTTTCTGACATGACGTGTATCTGCAGTGGCTGTGGGCTGTGCTGAGGGCTGTCAGTGATGTGATGGCAGATGGATGGTTTGCAGATGGGTGGTAGTGGTTATTTTCTCTTCTCCAGCTAAATGCAGAAGAGCCTGGAATGTGCAGTCCTTTAGGTTATTCTGGGTAGTTTGATTTAACTCAGCCATTAAACAAACAAGCAAACAACAACTAAAAACTTCTTTCTTGTAAAAGAATCTTCTGCTTCTCTTCTCCTGCCCTAAAAATAATTGACATAGACTGAGACTGAGTCTGCCTTCCGTGGCCCCTCATTGCCATTTATCTGCTTGGTGAGCTGTTTGCAGAGGATGGAGAGACAGGGCTGCAGCTCATCAGACCCGTAGGGTCACTTGTGGTCAGGTGCACTATCTCACCTACCCACTGCTCCTCCCCCATTCCTCTCCCTACCCCTGTATTGGGTGGGCTGCTCCTACTACCTGAGGATCCAGTTCATCACTTGGCACAGAAGTTAGCCCCTCCCTTGCTTCTCTTTTGCACTAGGCTATGTTAATTTTCGGGTGGTGTGACTGGGGAAGTCTTGTCTAACTTGTGTTTGCTCAGGGCCCAGCTCCGTGCTTGGCCCATGGTATGTGCTCCATCAATGTTTTTTTTAATAGAGAAATCAATGATGGCAGTGTGTGCATTCATAGGGCTTTTCTTAGTGTCTTCTCTTTGACTTCTCTTCAGTTTATGATTTAAAGTCAGCATTTTTTTGGTTTTGTTTGAAAAAACTCATCATACCATCAAGGAACCCTTTTTATATAGCATTGACTGAAGATATAGAGAGATTTAGACAGGTGTAGAGCCCAAGCTGAATACTCATTTAAAATCTGAATTTATTATCTATGAATTAAAAATTTTTTTATTGAAGTATAGTTGATTTTCAGTGTTGCGTTAATTTCTGCTGTGCAAAGTGATTCAGTTATGTATGTACATATATACACATTCTTTTTTTAAATATTCTTTTCAATTATAGTTTGTCATAGGATATTGAATATAGTTCTCTGTACTATACAGTAGGACCTTGTTTTTTATCCATTCTCTATATAAAAGCTTACATGTGCTAACCCCAACCTCCCACCTCTTCCCTCCCCCAAACCCCTCCCCCTTGGCAACCACAAGTCTGTTCTTTATGTATTTTTTTTTTTTTTTTTTTTATAGAGGGCCTCCTGCCTTTATTTTTAATTTTTTTGCAGTATGCGGGCCTCTCACTGTTGTGGCCTCTAAGGTTGCGGAGCACAGGCTCCGGACACGCAGGCCCAGCGGCCATGGCTCACGGGCCCAGCCGCTCCGCAGCATGTGGGATCTTCCCGGACAAGGGCACAAACCCGTGTCCCCTGCATCGGCAGGCGGACTCTCAACCACTGCGCCACCAGGGAAGCCCTCATTATGTATTTTTAAAATGAATGGAAATCCTTCCATGTCTCTGCAAATGGCACAATTTCATTCCTTTTTACGGCTGAGTAATATTCCATTGTACATATGTACCACATCTTCTTTATCCATTCCTCTGTTTATGGACATTTAGGTTGCTTCCATTACCTGGCTATTGTAAATAGTGCTGCAGTGAACATTGGGGTGCATGTATCTTTTTGAATTTTGGTTTTCTCTGGGTATATACCCAGGAGTGGGATTGCTGGGTCATATGGTAGTTTTTGTGCCATTTGCAGAGACATGGATGGACCTAGAGATTGTCATACAGAGTGAAGTAAGTCAGAAAGTGAAAAACAAATATCGTATAATATCACATATGTGGAATCTAGAAAAATGGTACAGATGAACTTATTTGCAAAGCAGAAATAGAGACATAGATGTAGAGAACAAACATATGGATACCAAGGGGGGAAGGGGGGTGGGATGAATTGGGAGATTGGGACTGACATATATACACTACTATGTATAAAATATACACAGGGAACTCTATTCAATGCTCTGTGGTGACCTAAATGAGAAGGAAATCCATAAAAAAGAGGGATATATATATATATATATATATATACACACACACACATATAGCTGATTTACTTTGCGGTATAGGAGAAACTAACACAACATTGTAAAGCAAGAATTCCTGTCATCTGTGAGTTCTGGAGTTGGTTAGTCCTTGTCTCAGATCTGATTTATCTGTTTCTTCCTAATGAAGAGCAAACAGAGTTCTACGGCTTTCATGAAATGGGGGAGGAAATGAGGAAGAAGGTAGGGATTGGCATGTGACAAGCCCAGGGGACAACGAGGTTAATAGGATGTTTGCCAGTATCCTTGGTGTAACTTATTTTGTGTGGAGCTTTCCAGAGGGGGGTGAGAGATGGAACATCTGTGGTCTCAGGCACCCATGGGGGTTTGTCTCACGTTTTAGTGCCTGATGCCGTCTTGGTGCCAGGTTGAGCTTCAGCAGTATTGCCTGAATGTCCTGCAGTCACTTTCTAGTCCTGCCAGTGTCAGCAAAGGAAATGAAATGTTGGCTGACAGTTACGGGGGAAAGAATTTTTGGCAAAGAAGAAATTTAAGTGTGAGGGAAGAGGAATAATGGATGTGAGAATGTAGAGACCAGGTGGAGACTGGAATAGCCAGTGCAGGTGCTCCAACCAGCCATAAAACCAAAACGGGAGGAGGTGGGTTTAGAATAAACGACACACCGGTAGAAGGGGTTCTCTAGACTCTCTCTCTCTCTTTTTTTTTTTTAATTAATTTTTATTGGAGTATAGTTGCTTTACAATGTTACGTTAGTTTCTACTGTATAGCAAAATGAATCAGCTGTATGTATACATATAGCACCTCTTTTTTGGATTTCCTTCCCATTTAGGTCACCACAGAGCATTAAGTAGAGTTCCCTGTACTATACAGTAGGTTCTCATTAGTTGTCTATTTTATACATAGTAGTGTGTATATGTCAGTCCCAATCTCCCAATTTATCCCACCACCACTTCCCCCTTGGTATCCATGTTTGTTCTCTACATCTATGTCTCTATTTCTGCTTTGCAAATAAGTTCATCTGTACCATTTTTCTAGATTCCACATATGTGATATTATACGATACTTGTTTTTCACTTTCTGACTTAGTTCACTCTGTATGACACTCTCTACGTCCATCCACATCTTTACAAATGACCCAATTTCATTCCTTTTTATGGCTGAGTAATATTCCATTTTATATATGTACCAAATCTTCTTTATCCATTCATCTGTCGATGGACATTTAGGTTGCTTTCACGTCTCTAGACTCTTTCTTGAGCCCTGGATTCATATTGTACTTGGTACCCCACAGAACCCTTGTCTCATGA